TATTCTCTCAATTCTCTCTAAGAAAATGCATAAAAAAAATAAAATTTAACTTTGAACTCTACTTTCCTCCACACTTAGACTCTTTCCTTGGCTTCACAATTGATCCTCTTCCCTGTTAGAACTACTTCTCCCTGCTCATAACCTCCAAATTCGTCCATAACTGCTGCGGAAACCGTCCAGATTAGTTCTGGCACCTAGGCGCCTCCATCTCGGGTAAACAGAGTAAATAACTGGTGTCGCGGCGCCAAGTTCTCTCTTGTTGGACATCAACTAGCGCTAAGGTGCCAGAAGCTGACGCCTAAGCGCCAACCTGTTGTTGCTCCATTGCTTCATTTATCTCTTTTTTCACTCCGTTTTCGCTCTAATTTACTTCAAATTTCCTATTTTTTATATATGCAACAAAAACATGAAAATACATTCATTTAAAGCGTAATTTCATCAAAAAATAAGTGTTAAATGTAAAGAATAATCAACATGCTATAAGACATGTCACTACTCCTTCACCCTCCTCTGCTCTCTGATCTCCTTCCCGACTGACTCTCTTCGGCTTCTCTACTATGCACTTCCTCTTCCCGACTCCTCACTTTCAATCGTTTCTATTTGATTGCCCGACCTTTCGCTTCATCTTTCCATTCTTTGTTTCCCCTCCCATGTACAGAACTGTTACAATCTTCCCGACTCAAAAAAATTTCGTCCACAAAATTTATAAACAACAACATTAGTTATCCATAAAATTAGGGTCATTTATGAAAACTAATCACTATCAAGAATAAAGACTTGATACAAGGCAACTCAAATATACTTTGGAACACATAGACACTTAACACAAAATATGTTAAGAAAAACACCAAACTAATCGGACCTCAACACCATCAGCAATCGTAGGCTCTTCAGGTTCACTATGAGTAAGGGAATATACCCAAGGTCGAACTGATTGTCTTGGTTGATCATGGGTAGGAGCTGAGGCTATATGTTTTATCTTTTGTGCCCACCTGCAGTCTTCTAAGAAGGAAATCTACTGGATTTCTGATTTTTTGCACTCTTCTAGCCAAGAGATGGACACTATATTGCTATATGAACAGTCTGATGACACCAATAGCAAGTGTTAGAGCCCATCAAATATTCACTTTTATGTCGTACCTCTGCTAACTCCACCTGAATTATTCTTGGACTTCTTCTCATTGGATGCTTCTGAGTGATCTACATGGTCTTCTGCACTCTTCCTCTTATGTATCTCCCTAAGCATCTGAGTAAGTTGATAGCGATCTCCACTCTTCTAGGTCGTTCCACTAATACTGAATATTCATCGATTCCTAAGGGTACTAACGGCTGTTTGATCGAATCTTTTAAATCAGTGGCACTTTTCTTCTGTAGTTGCAATTAATTGTGGCACATACCTCAATAGTACAATGAATTCTGCTTCATACTGCCTCAATGTCTTCTCTACTTACCTCAACTTGATGAACCTGTTCTGCATCTGTCATCGAGCTGATAAGGTTACAAACCATTCTCTAAATAACTCCACGAATTCCTCCCAACTAACCATTGTATTGGGTATGTCCCTTAACCTGTCCTGACGTTGCCCACGCCACCACCTCTCGGCTTCTCCATCTAGCACAAACATTATCAACGGTATTATTTTTTAATTCGGACAAGTCATGTTATCTAGTATCTTCTCTATCCTCATTAATCAGTTCTTCGCTTCAATTGGGATTATAATTTTCTTGAACAAAGGTGAACGCAAATCGTGAAATATCTTAGTATTTATCTGCTGCAACTGCATTATTTCCAATATGATGCGATATGTACTCTTGAATCAACCGAGTCATCACAGCCATTATTTGGGTGAGGGCATTTGTGCTTACATTAATAATAGGTTGTACTTCTTCGTTTTCGGTCGGATTTTCTTTTTCTATGATTTCGAGTGTATCACTATGCATGAATAGATAATAATTATTAATTTAAGTTAATTTTAATTTTTATAATTATTATAATTTTCTTATAATTATTATATTGGCCCTTTCATAATACTAAATTAATTTATCTTAAATTTGGCTCTGATACTACTTTTGTCACAACCAGACCCGAGACTTGAAATTAACCAAGATGGGTGCAGACAGTCGGATGGTATGAAATAAATTTTCTATATTCGTCTGCAGTTTAATAGATGAAAGAGTTACTAAACAATTTAAATTAAAACGATAAATTAAAATCTCGTTGATAATTGATCCCGTCTTCTATAAGTGTTTTCTCTTCTATCGCTCATTTCTTAATCTCTTAAAATTTACCTAAAATGTTTGATTAACATAATAATGAGTTAAACAAACCAGTGAATACACATACTTTTAAATTACAATATTACAAGGAAAATAAAGAATAATATACATGTCAGTTAATCTTCTTTTTAAATCAATATAAATATTTGTCATGCTATTTAACAATGGTCTGTATAATTATTATATCAATATCATTTCATATTTATATAATCGTCATAGGAGGCACCGTCTAGAAATTGTGTCATTTAAGACACATTAATATCAATATCATTTTTCATTACGTGAACGGGAACATTAGTTTTCCTCCACTAGTACCATCAGGGGGTGCTCCATCATAGCCAATGTGCACATGCAATCATTTAACATAATAAATCTCATTCATATTATACCATTCAATAATATGAAATATGCATTTAAATAACATGCAAATATTAGTGACACAGACTAGGTATGATCAAAATGATATTAAAGAGATAATAAGATCTACCTAATCAAGTCTTAGAGTCAATCAAACTTAGGAGAAATCAAAGTTACTATAATTTAAAAGTATAAGTACTCACCTCGATGATGACTAATTTGTTATTTATCTCGACATCGACTCTTCTAAAATGAAAATATAACATAAACATGATATAAAATTAAATTTATTTATTATTCAAAGTAACTATTAACTTTTCATTATTAATTAAGCATTAAATTTTCATTATTTTATTATGTTTATTTTTCTACTCAATAAGTTATTATTATTATTATTATTATTATTATTATTATTATTATTATTATTATTATTATTATTATTATTATTATTATTATTATTACATTAATTTCATAAACCCTTTTTATATTTTACCTCAGTTGCCCTAAAGTCTCCTCGACCTCCTCCTTCGCATGACTAAGCCTCCTCTTTTGCACGGTTCCTTTGCACAATACAGCTTGGCTCAACCGAACTCCTCCAATCGAACTCTGCTCGTACTCCCTCTCCTCTTCTTCGTCGACGCTCGGCAAGGGCCCAACCGCACTCAACGACGCCACCGATTCCTTCCTAGATAGAGATGTCGCCTATGCCCTAACCCACTCGTCGCTTCTTCAAGTATGCTACTCCTTGACCCTCATCTGCTCTTTGATCGCCTTCCAGTCAGCTACGCAATTTATAGGGTGAATTCCTCTCTTCAGCTTCTCTATTGTTCACTTCCTCTTCCTGACTCCTCACTTCCCATTGCTTATACTCAACTACCAGACCCTTCGCTTCACCTTCCCCCTACTCTTTGTTGCCCCTCCCCCATTTACAAAACCGTTACAAAATTATCAATTAATAGAGTGCTCATTAACTGCAAAAGGAAACATGGGATCTCACTGAATTAGAGATAGAACGAAGGCGCTTCAATGAATCCAATCAGGAGAAAGGCAAATAATGACTAAGTCTAGAAATAAGTAGATGAAAATTAAAATTAGAGTAAATAATTATAGATTGATAGTTACGTACCTAGGATGAAAAGATGAAGTAATAGAGGGTATAAACATAAAGCAAGGAACTCATTAAAAGAAAGAATACTAGAGGGCATAAACTGTGAGTAAATAATATAAGAGAGTAAAAATAAGCTGCTAAGCATATAATTAATTGAAGAGGAAATATATATTGCGATGGCTTGCACTTGTGCAAAACAGAAATAAGAGAGACACCAACTTAAGATAGCAAGCTTTATTTGATGTGAAATAGTTTCGAAGAAAAAGACATTTTGAAGGCATGGCATTCGACAGGGAGCTCCACTCAAAAATATGAGTAAACAGGGGTACCAGAAAATCCATCTCTATGCAGGAATGATTGAGGAAATGATAAAAAACAACCTTATTTTTCTAAAAAAGGCTACGATGATGAAGATGTTGGTGAATGTTGCTAAAGTTATTTTAGAGTTCAATTTGCATCGCAACAGATGTATGTCTATCATAAGCTAAATATCTTGAAGGCCAGCGTAGGTAGTAAAATATTCACAAGTCATTGTTCTAAATTTAATTCTTAAATGAGAGTTCTAAGGAAAAAAATATTCTGGAAAAGACCAATGAATAAATTAACAAGATCTATTATAAATTGATAAAAAAAAAGAGTTATGTATAAAAAATGCATGAAAATAACATTAAGCTCATATGATAATCCTATTTCAATTTCAAGAGTTAAAGGGGATACTACAATAATTTGGTAAATAAACATTTCAATAATAGAGGATATGCCTGAATTGAAACACAAAAAAGATATAAGAATTCCACAGCTTGCTAGATAATGTCCATTTCATAATACTCAACAACTATGATAGCTAAAAATCCCATTCATTATGTCCACAGATTTTAATTACAAAATGAAAATGATGCATGACAAAAGAGAAAAGACTAAGCCCATCAACAATTAGGGAAAATTTCTTATCAGCCAAACTGCATGTGAGAAGAACAAAAATTTTTAAGACAAATAAACCCTATTTAGTATCAATCAATATGAAATAAAAATTAGCATGAAGAAGACCCCTTAATATTTTTTTTTAGTTTAATTGTACTGCATCCTTTTCAAGTGTACTTACAAGCTAGACTCAATAAGAGTAAAATGTGCGTTGTAAACGCTGAGAATAAAATGGCCATCACTTAAAAGAAGAAAAGTGTGAAACATGTACAAAGCTATAGACAGACAAATTAAAAACTTCACGGAGCATACCGTTGGAGTACTAGAATGAAACTTACCGATACAGAAGAACCTTTTCTCACTTCAATCCGGATGCTAAATCCAATTGATCTCTTTCCAATGCCAAAAATATGAAACCTTTTGGAGAAAGAAGATCAGTGATGGCTTATTAAAAGTACTTTACAGCTAAAAGAACTAAAAAATCTATAAATTTCAAGAATTTAATCCGAAAAAATGAAACCATGGACGTTTAGCACTTCTGCAATCCATCCAAACAAGAAAAACACATTAAAAAATTGCAGCATCATCATATATACATAAAAAAAGGCAGGACAAGGCAAATCAATAAAGGAAGCAACAACATCATGAAATTTACTCAACTTCAGAGATTTAAAGAAGCAACAAAATCGTACTTTAAAACACCAACATACTGAAACTTAAACGACAAACTCAAGAGTTGATTTTTTTTATCTAATAATATCTCTTACTTCAACCGAAACATGCAATGTGGGTCTGTTTATAAACATACCAATCACCAGGGAAACGAAGACAGTGAGCAGTATTTGCCTTCCCTTTCAGCAATTTATCAACTATTTGACATTTTACAGTAATGTTAGAAAAATGTAAACAAGTATAATAAAAAGAATAAGACATGAAAGACCATAGGTTCAAGAACTCACAGATGTTCCCACAAGAGGAAGGAACACGACGTCTTGGCCCACAAGGGCAGCAAATTGGCTGTGACAACAAGCACAAATATGCGATACATTAATACTTCCAGAAAATATACTCATTTTGCATAGTCATCCCAAATGAAAATGCCAAATAACACCACACAGTTGACATAAGCAATGTCCAAAGCTGCGCTCTAGACTATCTCATTGTACGGCATACAAATAGCTTCACATTCCACTCTGCTTCTAAAATTTTCTTTCAAAAGTTTAACACTGGCCCACTTTAATGCTGGAATTATGTTCAATGACGTATGAATAAGAGGGAAAATGTTTAATGCTAAGCAGCTACTAAAAATAAAGTAACGAATTGTGTTATCTTGGAATGTTTAAACTTAATTCGAGAAAATTATTAGCCCATAAATTTAGTCCATAATAGTCAATAACCTAGGCCCAAAAAGAAATTCTTCCAGCTTGGCAACATTTTTTATGTGGCAATAAATTAAGCAATATCTCAAAACATGCTTAGATTGCAATGCAGCATAATCAGAGCTAGCTCGCATGAATTTTGAACTTAAAACCATTCAGGCTTTTTTTGAATTCTAGATAAAAAAAAGTACGCAAATTCCAAGAGAGATAGAAAAAGACTAGAGAAATGCTAAATCCTAGGGAGATTCCCCTATTGGTATTGTAATACTAGACCTTTTTAGCGCACTCAATTGACTGAAAGTTGTAAGTTCCTCATAGAAGAAAAAACCCTCGATGCAAGTTCTTGGCTGATTATTTGCAAGATGCAGCCTCAAGAAAGGTGCATCCAATACAATTTCATCAGCATGTGAAGCTTACCAAGCATGCAACAATAGTAGAAAAAGTTGTATTAAATTTGTAGAAATAATAAGTCCCTAACAAACAACTCAGGAAGATTGGAAGCAACAATCATTACCCAACTCGCATATGATATCTCCTTGGCAAAATCAACGATAAACCAATAACTACTTCACAAACATATAGTTTTCATCAATGCTAAAGCTAAAATTTCGAAGTATTTATGGATAGCTGCAGGGAATACCAAATTAATTTGAGAGAAAACTATTGAGAAATGATAAACAATAAATACGAAAAAAAAGGAGCACAGTTCTAAGAAATTTAAGAAGGCCAATAAGAATATGTAGTAAAATTAGTTCAAGCAAAGTGTCAAAGAACTATAATTGGGTATTGTGGAGCTAACATCTACCTATTGAGGGGCAAGCTAATGAGCCATAACTCAGATCATTGGTGAAGAATGGAAATAGAAGGCCAAAGATAACAATGTAACAAGTTTTTGATTTAGTGTAGGTAGAAAGAAAATCAGATGCAACTTTTATAAGGAATGAAAAGGGAAGAAGAATTCGGTAAGACAACCAAAAAAGCTAAAATTCAAAACATGAGGATGATGATGCCACAATACCATAAGAACTAAGCAATTGTAGCACATCTAAACTCCTAGTAAATTTTAACCAGAAAAAAATGATGATTGTTGAATTTCTGCTGAATTGAGACATTCTGACTCCACTAGTCAGGCCTATACTTTTTTATTTCTGCCTTTACTTCCTCAATAATCTTGCAGTTTTCCATGATGTTTCCAAGCTTTGCCTTTGACGCGCCCTTTATTTTTGCAGCAGTTGCACCAAATATTTCTTTTGAAAGAAGAATGTTTTCCATCTTTTGGAGAAGGTTTTGTGACAAAAGTTCCTTACCTTGGAATTTAGAAGGTGACATAGTAGATATCTCAGAGGGCTGGACTACAGATCATCACCGACTTTCTTGCTTTCACTGCTTGAACGAGAGAGAATACTTCATTTAGAAAGAGAGTTTTCTCTACTTAAGACTTGGATTTGAATTTGGCCAAATTTATTATTGATTCCTGCCAAAAAATCAAAGATCCTCTCTCTCTCTCGATGAATTTTGTAAGGATTGCCGCATCCTCGAAGCATGATATCTTGAGATCTTGGCAGTAGTCCAACTCTAACCAATAAACCTTCATGACATTAAAGTATTTAATGACAGAAAGGTTCCCTTATTTGGTAGTGACGAGCTTTATCTTGATTTTGTAGATGTGTAGCAACATTCACATTTGAATATGTTTATTTAATTGCATCCCAAACTGCTTTTGAGGTGGAGAGAAACATAAAAAGTCTGTTGATCTCCGGAAGGATGGTGTTCCACAACTATGTCATGATAATGCAATTAGTTTCTTTGCAAAGTAAAAAAATTAGGTATTTGGGCTCCTAAGGTAGATCCATAAGATGTTGGATCTTTCCTTTCCCTTTAAAAAAGTATCACAATTTAGGACCATTTAAGATAATTTCTCCCATTCAAGCAATAAGATGCTTGAAAATACCTCGAGTTCTTCTTTCTGGTTTTCACTATTAATCATTATTAATTCCTTCGAAAGGAAGTCAAAAAATTTAGACATAATGAATGAAAGGAGAACTCGACAAGAGATATAAGGTTAGAATTGGAAACCTTAATCTTAGATAAACAAAATAAATTTTGGAAGGAACACTCTGACATCACTCTGATGTCATATAGAAAATAAGTACTATAAAAAAAAACTCTTAAGAATCCCATCAACGTCTTTGCACAAAATAAGATGTATATATATAACTCCTAAAGACATTACAAAATAGGAATAAATAAATAAATAAGAAGGAAAAATAATTAGGAGTCACGAGCCTATAAGAGAGCAAAAGAATTATTATATGAGAGTTGTAGAGAGACAGATCTAATAGTACAGTGCATCGATCCATATACCTTAAGTTCTATGCTATTTGAGGGCATAATCAAATAGGTTCATATGCACAAGCCTTGATCTGTGTGCCTTCAGTTCTTTGTTGTGATTGGAGCAGAAATTCAACAATAAGCATTCAAGTATCTCCACAGGAAGAATGCTACCAAAAGTAGAGAGCTATGTGCTTGGCGTTTTGTACATTGCTAACAGAAAATGTAGAATTTAACTTTTCAGGTTCAAAAGAAGATTCCAATATCAAATAGAATGCATACATAATACCTTCATCATGTTCTAATGAATTTATCTGTCATTCATTATTAAATATCGTATTTATTAATCCAATTTTATTGGATTGTTTTCATTTGCTTCTTTATTATAGAATGAAAAGATGGATATCAAGTCCTTCACTTCAGCCAAATACTTTTCATGCTTTATATCATGTAAAACACTTTCTCTTTAAAAAAACTTTTCTGTCTTCAATTTATTTTAGTTCGTCTAGACAATAGCCTTCATTATTTAGAGATAAAAAAGTAGCCATAACACAGGTTTGAACGGACAATCTTTCCATTTCATAGATATGCATCTCATTCATGTTCCCCTTGACATCCAAATAAGAATCATATTATTTAACAAAGTAGGTAATTAATGAATCCATGTAATCCGTTTCACTAGAATTGTGTTTCTGGATAAAAATTTTGAAAAGAATGAATGCAAGCATGAATATATAGTTAGATAAATAATGTTAAACAATATAGAGTAATAAAAAGAAAGACTCACCTGTGTATTCTCAATTATATGACCATCTTGATCCCGCAAACTAACAGTAAATGCATAAAGTAAGTGACAACACAAAAGCATATGAAATGAAGACAGCCATATGTAAATGCCTAAAGTAAACAACTTCAAAAAAAATTTCTCTAGAAAAAATAAAGAGGTTGCCAAAGGAGTTTAAGCCTTTACAGATGAATTTGTCAATGAAAAAAGGACTATAAAGGCTTTGTTTCAATTAATGCAAAAGTGAAAGAATGAAATAAATATACAATCAGTTTAAGATTTGGGTATGAACCCCAGTCACTGATTTGAGTTTTTCATCGCATTTTGACTTCCTTTTGGCTCAAATTTCGAGCTTTCAAACACAGACAGAAGGCCATTCATTATTGATATCCTGGTACCAAATATAATTAGTTACGGTAATAACTTGCTACTCTATACATGATCTGGGGATCAAATTAAGAGGAATTTTTTTTAACTCATGTACACGCCAGTATATGATAGGCCTTGAACTCAAATTTTATGATTGGAGACGAAGCACTCAACCACCATGTTAAGTTGACAGCATAGGGATCAAATCAACAGGACGGTTGCTAAGAGTATCCAAACTTCAAAATCACAATTTAGGAATCAGATTAGGAAAAGATAAAAAAACTCAAGATCATTGAGATTTTGATAGCCCAATCTATTGATGAGATTATCAACCGTGTGATTCCTATATTACAACATTAGGATGGAAGGTGAAGTCAAGAAGAGTCAAAATTGAAGACTGATCATCGTTTGAACACATTCTGATCAGGATTGGGAGACAAAATTTGACCATTGAATGGCAATCAAGAGGACAGAGGAAGTTGCTTGGTGGGACAGTACAAGGAGCCTTATCTGGCTAATCAAACCTATACAGGGATTAGTTTAAATTTTCTTTAAATAATTTTTTTTTTATAAATTCAAATTAAGGTTACTTTATTTTGGTGGAGTTAGTTTAAAATAAATAAGACAATTTAAATTTAAATTTCTACCATGACTGTCTATTCATCCGTTTCATTCCTAAAGTAAATCAATCCCAAATTCTCCCAAAAATCAGTCTCTTTTCTCCACACCCTCTTCACTCCACCACCTCAACTCCAAATTTTGTTGATTGTAGGCAAAACAATTTTTGCCGTCTTCTCCTGCCCCTTGCGGCCATAGCCTTTGGCTACCATCCAAGGCCCGGAACATGACTGGCAGTGAGGAGAATCCGAGTTCTGATTGTCGCCCAAGGCCCATTCTAGTTTCTTATTATGGACATACATCATAAATTTAAGAAGTTAGCATCAGACGGACATCATCTAATTTCATGAATGAATTAGGCAAAATATGTTATATATCAAGTGAAGATATCCACACAAGTAGAAATTCTCAATGATTTCAGTAACTAATGAATGATTTAGCAAAAAACCTTCAAATATTGCTCTTGTTATTATTCTAATCGCCTGTGCTCAATAATCCAACACTTGGGGATGGGGAAAGGCTTATAAAGATTATGATTATTCAAATAATGAACAAGTTTGCAAGGTACAGCAAAGCAATAATATCGTGACGAACACCATATAAGTTACCTCTCACAAATTTTAAGAATTCTCGAACTAGCATCGGGCTCACATTTCCGTGTCAAAACATAAAACTCCTCTGGCTTATAGGCGACATCCTTAAAAGCATACGAAAAATTGTTGTTAGCTAAATAGATTGGAATAAAAAGATGAAATATTTTAACAAATAGCAGTAAAGCAATAACACTTCAAGAAGGTCATTGTACCCTTAGATATTTACACATTTTGGATATCAAGTCAAGCATGCAAATTGGATGCTCATTTTATATGTTTCTATAAAAATATTTGACACTTCTTGACACGTTGCAAACATTTGAAGAACTACATAATGAACTTTTTTTTTACACAACCTACTCCCTTAAAATCAACTATATAAAAAAATATCAATATCATATTAAATTTTTGTTCCAGTTCTTCCTCTTTATCAATCTCTCAATATTATTTTCACTGATGTAATATAAGTTTGAGCCTTACAATATGATCACAAAAACGAGCTTATTCTGGAATTACTACGTCAGTTATTAATCATGTATTCATAGATACAAGCATGCATATCACGCCTCTGGATCATTTCATGTACATTTCCCGTGTTGTTGTCACTCTTCATAGAAGAAAACCTCTAATAAAGCTGCAACAAAGGTTAGTTTTATGAGCCCAGATGTCTAAAGTATATATGATTTTGTACCTTTTGTTTCAGTTCAAGCTTGATAGATGTTGTAGTCATAATTAGGGATGAGAACAAATTGAATGGCACCTAGTATTATCATATTCAAAATTATTCATTTGTATTTGTACGGAGATTTGACGAGCTTGACCATAAAAAGAGTTTAAATTTATGCCCAAGCCTATTTATTTGCTTTTTATGGAGTTATTGACCACAATATCTATTCCACAACTGACTCCACTGAAGGAGACATCCGAGAAGATGGATGTGTCATTCTGCAAAGCCATCTCAAAGCATCTTGCCCTGATAAAAAAAGTGCTAAACCATTATCTGTTACACAAAATTGAAAATCAAGAAAACATTCACCTCAAGTCTACCTGTGATCTCCTTTAATGATGCAACTCTTATTAACAAGGATGTTTTCATCAGGTCGTCGACTACCACCAATGATTAAGTAAAGCAAGGTTCATAGGTTCATAATTATTCTCCCACCATCCACTCAAAGTGTTAAACAAATTCAAAACTTATTGGTTCATCAAGCAAATACCATATACTTATAGCTAGATAAAATACTCCATTATTTAGGTGTTCGAAATCAGAAAATTTGATTTAGAAGTATATAACAAATCATTTTAAGCTATTAAACGACGCATAAAGAGCTACTTGTTAAACAACAAACAAGTATATTAAAGGATAAAAATAAATGAGCAAATCAAATTGTTCATTTATATATCTACTTTGACACAAAAAGAAAGTTTGAGCTAAACATAAATGAACTCTAGAGAAAATGAATATGTAATTATTCATTAAAAAGAAGACTAGTTCAGTAGCACTCCTAACTCATATACATGAACAAGTGGAGATGAACTTAGAGCTCTATAACAAATTCTAATTCAACTACATTTGATCGATAAAAGAACATTAAGATACAAGAGTGCTAATATCTAATGATAAGGACTTTTGTAAAACTATTATATATAAGCAAAGAAAGAGAAAAAAAGCTAAAAAAACATAAATTTCTACTTCCCATTTTTCTCAATCAAGCCTACGTACATTCCCTAAGTTCTAACTTGGGTATTTCTTCCCTATTTCTTGATTAATAAATCAAAACCAACACCTTCCATTAAGATATTTGAGTAAACTAAAATCATTTTACCGGAAGGACCAATTCTAAAATTTCTTTGTTTTTATAACAGTAAAGCAACCTTTAAAAATTACAAGATTGAGGAAAATTCTCATACAATAGATTGTGGAAAAAAAAATGATAGATGAACTAGCTTGAATAACTCTTAAAAGAGGAAGCTAAAAGAGCACTGCAAATAATAGAATTGTCGAAGTTCAAGATTTCGTATGATCTAAGTAAATAAAATATGAGTGCAATTAAATGTAATTTGTTTTACAAAATGAACAAATCTTAATTATAACTAGACAAGTTCTGAGGACTTGAGCACTTCCCTAACAATTTGCAAATGAGAGTTCTAGAAAGGTTGAATAATTATTGTTCAAAAGAAGAGAATTTAAGGAATAGAAGTCTTTTCATAGCATAAGATATTTAAGATGTTTAATTCTTTTATTAATATTTATAGAAAAAATAGAATTGAAAATAATTGTTCAAAAAGAGAGGGAGACAAAATCAACAATTCAAAAAATAGCCAATCACAATGCTTAATGATTTCAAATTAGCAAGGTACTTATAAGTGTCCAATGTGAATAAACCAAATCCTAGGATGTTAAACACATTGTCGAAGTGACGCGGGAGCTGGGAACTGGGGGCTGGGGGTTGAACCAGTTCAACCCAGTTCAGTGGGAATCTACAGGTTGTAGGGTTTGAATTGGCCCCTCTCCTCTCTCTTTCATTAGGCGGGAATTATTTCCCCTTTCCTTTTTTGTTTTCCCGCCTCTATATCTATTATAAATATATGTGTTTGTGGTATTGGGGTTTAGTCTTTTTGGCAAGAATTATGTTTGGACAGCCACTAGCATCCCCTTTTCCCTTTCCAGGGCTGTATCAGAGGAAGAGTGCTGCTCCGGCTTGTATCTAGCTTCGAGGTGGTGTGTATATTCCCTTCCCCGTTCACCTTTCAATTTTCCAAGCCGTCGGATCTGCTGTCGCTTCAGCCAAAATGGTTTGTTGGTTGTTTTGCTGCTTCCAACTGTCGTCTATCCCCTCCTTTACCATTTTATGCATTCTACCATGAAGCCCAACTCACCTGCATCAGACTGTCATGCCTCCTATCTGCCAACCACGCAATCCCACACCCTTCCCTACTGCTTTCTGCAGCCCAAATCTTCTACCTAATCGCTGCTCCTCACCCAGCGCTTCCCAGCCACAGCATTCCCCTTCTATCAGCCTATAACAATTCCCCTCTTCTCCCTCCCGTTACCGCCCCAATTTGACCCACCTCCTTGTGCTATCAGCCCACCAAAGTCCACTCTTCTCCATCCTGTTACCACCCCAACTTGGCCCACCTTCCTCTAGCATCAGCCCACCACATCCCCCTCTTCTCCCTCCCGTTACCACCCCAACTTGGCTCACCTCCCACTGTTATCAACCCACCACAACCCCCTCTTCTCCCTCCAATAGCCATAGCCTTTTAACCACCATTCTACCATCTGATGTGCGCTACCCACCCGATCTACGCCCTAGTATGGTATTTGTGTCGTTATTTTCCAGTTTTCAAGTGTAGAATTTGTAACCCTTTTAAATTTCAACAATAATATTAGCGTTTCGATTGTGATTTGGCTTAACTCTGGTATCACGAATGTTGAAAGTTGAGCCAAAGCAAGGATTCCTAGTACTTTCCTAAATTTGAAATCATTAATAAATGAATTTTAATCTCACCTCACAAATTGCTTTGATTTCACCATGCACTTAAACTGCTCTAAAATTACAATTAAATTCTCCAAATAAGGACTTGATTCTATGCCACTGAAACGATGACGTTAGTTTGTTATAATGTATGGATGCTCTAAAAGCCAAAACTTTAAGGGAAAAAACTCATTTGGCAAGATTCAATCAATATTATTTCTAGATCGATCTTCTTAATGATAAACTTTTTTACCAATTTTAAAGACAATATTTTATAACTTGTTGATGAAATGCATGGAAATAAGTGGTTGGATGAAAAGTAAAAAAATACAAAAATAAAGATAACTTGATAACATAAGAGAAAATTTCCTTTAGTCGAAAAGCAAAACCACAAACTCTCATTTGAAGTGCCTTGATTGGAGCTCAGTGAGTGACAAATTTTTTTCTTAATCCTGCCACAGTCAGCAAACAAGACTTGGAACCTCCTCTCCATCAAAACATCGACACGCTTAAGACACTCATCATAATCATAAGGTTTCTCTAAAAATATGGTCATCAACGCCTTCAATAAAAAGTGGAGATGAGAGGCTAACATATTAAGAAGCTTAAGATCACGATACATGCATGCAGATGAGTAGCTCATCACATCCCTTGAGCTACGGCCAAGCTTAGACGGGTTGCATTTCATGGAAAGATTTAGAGTGGCTCCAAATTTTGCATGCAAGCCTGAACTGAAGTAGAAGAGCTGAAACCATCAACTTTGATTTTAGAATCTAATCATTTATATGTTTCCCTCATACCTGTATGGTAAGATGTGGTTGCTCATAATAACAACATGAATAGCATTTCCTAAGTTGGTCGATCTTATTTAGTTGATTTGGTTGGTAACAAACTTTGTCCCGCTTTAAACTAAAGTGGCCTTAACCAACAGGTTAATCACATGCCTAAAAGGCTTAGTAATCAACTTAAGCGACCAACTTGGTCAAGCATAGTAAGGACTAGATTGACTGAATAATCATTACTAATATTTTAAGCATAATAAATGACTACATCAGTTTTACAGGAGTTAAGATCATATCAAAGATTTTCTTTTCAAGAACATTAAAAATGATTAGAAAAATTCCAAGCCATCGCCAAGGTATTTTTATGCATAATTTGGCTTGATTGAAATTGAAAGAAGCATGTTAGCTTCCATATTCTATTGATCTTACATAAATTTAGATTCATAAGCATCCATGGACTTCCCTCCTGTATATCGTTTAACTGTGCACACCATAACTCTTCATCAAGCATCCAACTTGATCATGACTTTATTGTTTTCTTAATATAGTTTCAAAATGCTTTACACAATTTGAATGAAGATGATTCAATATGTTTGTGTTCAGTAAACAAAAAGGCACATAAAAGGATGAAAGTGCTAAATGAATGCCATTGGTAATGATTTTCGATTGCATAGTTTTTAAACAATTGGTACATCATAAGTTTGATTTGTGTGGGAAATTTGCAACAAAAACCCATGATATCATATGTAAATTTCCTCCATGAGAAATATACCTACAAAGCAATTGACACATCTTTATAGATTAAAGATAACTTTATTACAAATAAAATAGCACAACATAACA